TTTTTTTTTTTAACTGGTGAATCTTCTAAGCAAAACATGAGTTTTTTTAAAATGTGCAACAAAGGCTTAGCATTTGCTTGTCATACATGGTAAACACTGCTTAAAAGAAAGCACCAGACTCCTGAAAACACTAGTGGCATCCTAGACTAGTAAATAGAGGTCTGCCAATGCTGGTGATGATGTCCATAATTTCACAAGTACATCAAAAGGTATACAGTGTGTCCCTAAATATGAGCCTTCCCTACCTACTTGTGGAACATGTTCTGAGGCAAAAGGAAAAGCCAGACACCTAAAGATCACACAAGTAATAGAAACCTTCTCCAGATAATGCAGGCAATATGAAATTTATCTTTTGTAAGCTTTAAGAGGCAGAAAAAAATTTAGACATGATCAAATACAGCCACCTCATCTCACTTGGAGTGAGACCCAGTAACACTCCAAAGTATCCATGTGGCCTATGATCTTTCACTCTCTGGGGAATTCTTTTTTGTGAGACAGTCTCACTCTGTCACCCAGGGTAGAGTGCCCTGGTGTCATAGCTTACAGCAACCTCAAACTCCTGGGTTTAAGTGATTCACTTGCTTCAGCCTCCCAAGTAGCTACAGGTGCCTGCACAAAGCCTGACTAGGTTTTCTACTTTTAGTAGAGATGAGGTCTGTCTCTTGTTCAGGCTGGCCTTGTTCTCCTAAGCTCAAGCAATGCACCTGCCTCTGCCTCCCAGAGTGCTAGGATTACAGGCCACCCTGGCTTCTCTGGGGAATTCTGATGAGAAAACCTTTAGCCTTTTTAAAGGCAGATCTTAACAGAGGTAAATACTGCTTTCTTGTTCCTAACATTAGTTTCCCTCTTTAATAGCTCAAAGGGGAAATTGCAGCTGCCATTGGGTTTAAGCTATTAATGTTTCTGTGTAATTTATGGGCTCCCATGTCTCCAAGTGAGACCTGTATCTCAAAGGGCTTGAAAATCTATTCAGGACAGTTGCTAAAGCTACCTTTTGACTCTCTCACAGAACTTTTTTCCTCTGTGGCAGGGGGAATGGATGAGCAGATGGGAGAAGTAGGAAGGAGAGGAGAGGATGCTTCTTAGAAGCTGAGGGGGGGTGGTGGTGTTCAACATAGTTCCACAGTCAAACCAGCAGGGGCTCAGAACTGCAGCAACTCTGAGGCTCTAGGGGAAGTCTCCTGTAGAGTGCAAGGAGGAAACATCCGGCCTATAGTGGCATTAAGGAGGGTTAATGTGTCTCAGGAGGGGAGGATGCCACCACCACAGAACCTCTAAATATGGGCACAGTAGGAGCCCAGCAAAACAGATACTTGGGGAGGATGTGTTCTACCCCAAACATAGTATGTCGGTTAAGTCTGTTTCATAGCATATGGAGCAATGATTTGACTTCAAGTCTTTTTTTTTTTTTTTACAACAGGTGGAAAGGCAAGTTTAATCCATGATTAGTTTTAATCACCACATTATGCCATCCTAGAGCTTTTCAAGGCACGTATCTCATAAAGAAAAGCTGAAATTTGCCAAAAGGTTCCCGAACTTTGGTCATATTTCAGCATTTGCAGGAAGTGCCTGCATGTAATGATAAGAGGAATACTCTTATATATTAAGTACTTATACTAGGTTCTTTACTACATGTATTAAGCACTTATTTATGCTGGCATTTTCCCAAGTGCTTTCCACATAGTAACTCATTTCAGTTCCCAAAACCACCTAAGGAGGTAGTTAGAATATGCATTCATTTCTCTTTTACAGATGAGAAAACTGAGGCATAGAGAGGCAACTTGAACCAACCAAGGTTGCACAGCTAACCAAGTGGCAGATGCAAGGTGCGGCTGAAAGCCATTCTTGAAACTCTGAACTCTTGTGCTTGATCTTATACTTCACTGTTGGGTATTTCAATCGTATGCTAAATAAATACGTGATCCCTCAGCCAGGACTTCTAGTCTTCCACAGTGTGACACATGCGGCCATACCACTGACAAGTATATCCAAAACTCTCTTGATCCTAAGAATTTCCTGGATACTTACAAAGATACAGATTCCCAGACCCTAGGTCAGAGGTACTCACAATCAAGCAAGTTTGGAAAACCCTGATATAGTTGAATGAGCACTACCAGCCCTGCACAAAACAGGAAACCTAATTTTTTTGTCTTGATTATGCCTCTAACTGTTCCTGAGACTCTGGAAAATGTCACTTTTCAATACTGTCCTTGCTCTATTGTCTACCTCTCTCACTTACTGGAATGTTATAAGAATACGTACACTTATTCCCCTCATAAAGGAAATGCATTGCTTTAAAAACATAATATTTTCATAAAACGACATGCATGTACTAATGGGTATGTTACCTTGGACTTTATTTATGTATTTACTTATTTTGGGCTTGGCCTCTCTTAAAGCACAGATCTAAGCCCCTCTTCCAGACCTGTCCTCCAGTTCTCCTCCAGGTGACACGGATATACACCCCAAACCAGGCCGCATTCTGACCGACATTAGCTCTTTCCCTCTGGGAGCTCTGATCAGCTCAGTTCAGCCCAACAATGAGAAACTTTTTTCTCTTCTCCCTCAGGGGAAACTTCACGTTTATCCAATTCATTCTCTTGCAACCCAACTCTCCAGAAAGAAAAGGGGGGAAAATCCCACCCCTAAGAGACGATCTTCAGGTCTGAGGACGTTACTTAGCAACGGCACAAAGACCAGTGAGCAAAGGGGGACCTGCGGAAAAAACTCTTGGGTGGGGAGACAGAGGCAGTTTGAAAACTCCATTTCATCCAGAGAAAAACAAGGAAAACACAAACAGAATCAATCCCAAGTAGAGGAAAGCCTAGAGGGGCTTCTCCCCAGAGCAGGTCATTTCTTTACTCCCTGCATCTCAATTCCTTCAAAACCCCAATGACTAAGTCCACCCTCCTAGTTTCGTCCATGGCCCGAGTGCCCTCCCCTTGCCCTGGCCTGACCCACACCGGCTGGGACTCAGGGGCCCCCCACCCCTCCCCAGGCACCCACCGTTCTCAGACACGCTGGGACCTTCGCAGTCCGAGATTAACTGCTGAGGTTTCCGCTGCTTTCGCCGAGACATTCCCGGGTGGAGAGAGGTGGGAGAGGGAGGGGCAACGCTCACTGAGTCTTAACCGGGGTGACCTGGTCCAGTCTCCCCCTTGGGTCTGAAGCCAATTGATGCCTCTCTCCCAGTGCAAATCACTGTGAAGCAGAGATGTTCTCCTTTTGCAGAGACAGACTCTCTCTGACTCACTGTTCTTGACTCTCTCTCTCTTTCTCTCTCAATCTTTTCAAGTCTTTAAAGGGGAGACGCCCCCTTTTTTTCTTCAGCTTCTCCCCTATGCTTCTGCAGCTCCCATTGTAAAAGCAAAAATCCTAATCTTTCCGCACACTCTTTTCTTTTGTACTGCAGAGGAAAGGATTTAACCCTCTCCTCCCTGCCAGGGCTCCAGGCCTCTCCCCGTGCTGTCTATTGGGAGACTGTCCCTTGCTTGTTTTTCTAACTCTTCTTCCAAGATCTTCAGGGTGGATTTTGGTTCTTTCATAATTCTATGCCCCTGTGTTTGATAATGTGGCTACTTCTGGGATATGATATGAAATATGGATTTTGTGATATATCCAGATATGAGGCAAAAAAAAAAAAAAATCAGCTACTTCCAGTGGAAAATAGGGATATGAAAGGTTGGCAAAAAGATTGAATAATGATGGACAGTTACTCTAACATAACTTAATATATGGATAGCTCTTTATAATTCGTAGAATATTTTCACTTACATGACTTATTTTAAATTTTACAACTCTGAAATGAGCACAGCAGGTTTTACTGTTCCTATTTATAGATGATCCCCTTTATAGATGAATCAAAAGGCTCAGTGAGGTTAAGTAACCTTTTCAAGGTTGCACAGCTGTGATGTACCAGAGACAAGCCTGGAATCTAAGTGCACCTGATAGTAACCTAGCATTCTTTTCTCTGTGTTGATAAAGACCCAATATGCCACCATGCTAGCATGGTGCTACCATAAAAAAAGTGATTGATCTTAAGGAATCTCATTTAAAATAGTGACCAGGCCAGTTACTGGCCCAATCCTGCCCATTTCTTAGGATTGAAGGGATTTCTGAGAATAGGACTTAGGTGAGTTCCCTACCTCAGAGTGGAAGCTGCAAGGAGGTACTTCTAGCTCAATATAAAGAATCTTTTTAGTAGTATGATGGACTGTAGTAAGTCTGTGAGCTGTCTCTGTGATGTGCTCACAGAGAGGCTGAAGATAATTGTCAAGGATTCTGTGTAGAGGATTTCCTTGTGGATATGAGCTTGGACCTTTAAGAATTCCTCCATTTCCACAATACATTACGTGGCAAACAACCATGTATCTCCTGCTCAGTCTGTACACTAAAGGTTATTCATTTATTGTTCTTTAACTTCGGGCTATGTTGTTCCTACCTAAATTTGAGTAATACTGAGCTACTGGGCATAGAATATTTCAGATGTGCCCTACCTTCTGGCTACAATGCCTGGGTCTCTTTTAATATTATTTATCTTTTACTCTTTCGGCTGAGATGAGACACCATCTGACACACCATCAATTGGAAAAGTGGATTATTTTCTGCTTTTAAGTTTAGTGATGTAAATCTCTGCTGGCTGTATCTTCAGAGAAAAGAAAAGCTCACCTACAGCTTTGGGTGCCGATTTGAAGGTCTGTATATTTCTTCTCTTATGCAAGTCCAGGCTAGCTAGGCCATACTAAGAAAGGGGGAGGAAGAGAGTAGATGAGGTAGGAGAGGTGCTGGTGATAACTGAGGCAGGTACTCACATCTGAAGAGTTTGGGAAAGTGCTCTGATCTTTCCTTTGAAGTTCGCTGAATTATTTTTCCTGTCCTTTGGTGTGAGGACCCTGAGAGGCTTCCTCACGTTCCCATTCCTCATTTGGCCTTTGGAACTCTTGTTTCTGATTGTCTAAGAATACTGTTAACTTTCCCGTGGTAAACAGGTGCCATTATTTATGAGTAGACTACTGCCGGGGAAATGGGGACATTAAGTCCAGGAAAGCTTCTAATTCCTCAATGAAATAGACTTTGAGTCTGATCACTCTTAGCCTACTCTTTCTGTCTTTCTGCTTCTGTCAGAAGTCTATGAAATCTCCAAGCAGACAGATTTGGGGGTCTACATTTGTCTCTTTTCTAAATTGTAACCGTCTTTATCTTTTGCTATTTTTGTCCCTCTTTCTTGCAGGTCTTATTGTGAAAGGAAGGGCTCTTTCCCCTCCTCTCCTTTCTTCCGCCCTCCCCCGTTTACCATTTTTTTCCTTTTACCTCTCCACTGTGGCCTCTTGACCTCCCCACAGAGTTACAAAAGTAAAATCCTTGAAGAGATGCTGCTGTGGGAATGTTAATGAGGCTTCCCCACAAAGGGGCAAAGACTTTACTTCACTGAGTTGGAAAAAAGCCCCTTTGAAAAGGGGTTTCTGTGTGTGGTGAAGTGGAGAGAGGAGGGGAAGGAGAGAGAGAGGGAGAGGGAGAAAAGAAGGGAGAGAGAGAAAGAGAGCAAGAGAATGAAAGAAGGAGAGAGAGAAATGGAGGAGGGAGAGACTCAAACTTAATACCAAAAGAGAATATTAAAACAATACTTTTCTTTCTTCAATTTGTAATCTCATATTTGGAAAAATGTTCCATGGTCTTTTGACCTTGTAAAGGAAGGGTTTACATTCCCAAGAAGCCGAGGCACTTAGGGCATTGGAGATAAGAAAGGATAGGAAAAAGCGACTTATACAGGCACCCTACCCCCAGTTCCTTCCCATGTGTGGGAGCCTGAGAGACTCTGGGAGCAACATTCTGGACTGAGGGAGCTGGTAGTTGAGATGGGCTCTTTCTTCTGGATTTATGGTTCACTCTTACAATATTTTGTAATTTTATCAACTTTCCTATTTTGGCTTCCCTGTTGGCTGTTGATCTAATAATTTATCTTCCTTCAGGAATAGTTCAAAGGTACTGTAGAGGTATTTATACCATGGAGTCAATTTTCAAGCCAGACCACTTGAGCATGATCTGTTTCCTTCATTTGTGTGCACAGGCTGACTCTGGATTAGTTAAAATTAATGTTAAAGTATTTTGGTATCAAAATAAAGTCATGTTGTTGCTTTTTAAAGAAAGCAGGTTATTGTGTTTGACTCTCAGAGAGTTTCCTACATACTGTTTTCTGATGCCTGAACAATGCCCCAGATTAAGAAGCCAGAACTGCCAGGGAAAGGAGAAGGTGATTGGAATGAGATCTCAGGAAGAGAAAGAAGAGGAGCCAGTCAACAATGCTAACTCCAGGCCAGGCACGGTGGCTCACATCTGTAATCCTAGCACTCTGGGAGGCTGAGGCAGGTGGATTATTGAGCTCTGTAGTTCAAAATCAGCCTGAGCTTTTGCTCTCTCTTTTAAGAGACACCATCTCTACTAAAAGTAGAAAAAACTAGCTAGGTGTTCTGACAGGTGCCTGTAGTGGCAGCTACTTGGGAGGCAAGAGGATCACTTGAGGCCAGGAGTTTGAGGTTGCTGTGAGCTATGGTGATGCCATGGTATTCTACCTAGAGTAACAGAATGAGACTCTGTCTCGAGAGAAACAAAAAAGCTAATTCCGGAGGTCTGTGCTCACCTTCGGACTAGTATCCCCAAACATGGTAATCACATGGGGAATTTATGAAGAATTCACATTCCTGTGCTCTCTGTCCCAGAGATAACTTTAACCAGAGTGTCTGGGAGTAGGATTTTTTTTTTTTCTAGAGACAGAGTCTCACTTTGTCGCCCTTGGTAGAGTACCTTGGCATCACAGCTCACAGCAACCTCCAGCTCTTGGGCTTGGGCAATTGTCTTGCCTCAACCTCCCAAGTAACTGGGACTACAGGCGCCTGCCTCAGTGCCTGGCTATTTTTTTGTTGCAGTTTGGCCGGGGCCATGTTTGAACCCACCACCCTCTGTATATGGGGCTGGGGCCCTACTCACTGAGCCACAGGCACTGCCTGGGGGTAAAATTTTTAAATAAACTATTAAATGATTCTTTTGCAGAACTGAGCTGAGGCAATGAGAGAATTTTGGTTGACTAGTGGTTTCAGTTCACATGAACCTAGCTCTACCTATTGACAGAATAGATAACATGCTTACAAATGTATATACCACAACCATTGGCCAAGTGTTGGTGTTGTTAAGAAAGTTTGAGTCAGCCTGTAGCTCAGTGAGTAGGGCATTGACCACATACACTGAGGCTGCTGAGTTTCAGCCTGTCCCGGACCTGCTAAACAACAATGACAACTGCAACCAAAAAATAGCCGGGTTTTGTGGCAGGTACCTATAAGTCCTAGCTGCTCATGAGGCTGAGGCAAGAGAATGGGAGGCTGCTGTGAGTGATGCCAAGTCGCTCTACCAAGGGTGACATAGTGAGCCTCTGTCTCAAAAAAAAAAAAAAAAGAGAAAAAAAAAAAAAAAAAAAAAAAAAGAAAAAGAAAGAAACTTTGAAGTCATTTAAAAGTGCTTCCAAAATCATAGTGGTTTTTACCCTAAGAAATGAAACCATAGTCATGA